TAAAACAATTTGGGTATTGAAATAATTATCTTTTCGTATAAAGATAAAACAATTCCATCGATGACTGCGGAATTTAAAGAACACCCGCGGGAAAGTAATTCCTTCGATTCTTAACTATATTATACCATGGAACTGGAGGCTTCTGTGTAATAATTTAATTTAGTTCAAATTGTGCATATTATTTTTACTCAAACAGGTAAGCTCTTTGTATTCTAAGAGACTATTGCAATATATTTTAAGTATGAAAATTTCTAGATTGAACTATTTAAAATCTTATGTGTTACATATTTTATTAGGTAATTACAGAATGAACATTATTTAAACTTTAAAAGCAGGATAAATATTTATATTGTATTTGCTATCTAGCGCTCTTGGTGCTACGCTCAATAATGTTTACGTAATATTAATTTAATAAAGCCTGAAGCAATTTTCAAGTTACTGAATAAATGCTGAATAATCTTTACATATACTTGGGCACAAATAGCTTGTTTTTGACATTTATTCGTTTAATGTGGATTTTGTATAAAAGTTTTATTATATTAAATAATAATTTAAAATAAAAATGCATTAAATTACTGTAAAATATATGTAAAAATGTCAAAAAAGTAATCACTGAGCAATGATACTTACTACGCACACTTAATTAATACATGAAAATAATGTTTTACGTATATAATGAGTACGTTCAGAAAACGTACTACAGACGTTACCGTAAACATGCCGATAACATTCTACAAGAAACATCGTAAATCATATACTACAATTTGATAATATGCAATAATACGTCAAATACTGGTGTTAACAGCTCACTAATGCAATTGTAAAGAACGTACATATACAATATATTACAAAAACGTTCTGCATTACACTTATATGTTACAGTTCTGCAATATATAATGTAGTATATTTAATACTGATGGTTATAGCATCTTAAAAACATTTAGAGAAAGTGCTAGAAAGGTGTATGCATAAAGTGTTACAAGAATATTTTAAGTTAAGTCTTCGTATTACTGTTCAGTTTAGTACATAAAACGGCAAATACTGGTATTGACAGCATTTTTACTTAAAGAATTTTACATAAAATTAGACCTGAAATATGCATATAAAAATATATACTTCCATGAAAATGTGCTTATATTTTATTGGGTTCTTCAAAAACTTCGTTCTATTTTTTTAGGTGAAACAGAAACGTGAACGCATGTGCATTTATGTAATTGTCATTATTTAGTATGACTTTTTTGCCATGTTTCTTGCAGTTGCTTAATCCTCTGTCGATAAAAATCTGTTGATTATATCGACTGAGGAATTATACCTCTCTTTTGTGTTGATTATACCCACACAAAAGAAAGGTATAATTCTATTTCACATCATCCAAGATTTAAAGAGACAAGGAACTCGGTAAAATTCAATTCAATTAAAAATTATTACCGACGGAGCAAAGTTCGGAGATAAAGTGAAACTTACCATCTTCTTCTCGGATATATTAAACAGCATGATTTCTCACGTTATCATGCTGAAAGATAACGCCTTTGCGATCAGCAAATTCTGCTCGCTTAAATTTTGCTTCAGCTGGTGAACATAAATGGTTTTGTTACGCTGGAGAAAAACCAGAGGTTGTATTTTTCATATTCCATCACAAACTTAAAGTTTCTGGGATGCAATCCTTTTTTTTTCTGAGATCGGTGGAGTAGGATCTGTTAAGGGGTTGTCACATACAACTACGGTTCTTGCTAGACGGGACTTTTCTGAGAAACGAGATTCTGGTAACATTAGTTTAAACGGGAGGATTCCTAGAATAGAAAGCTCCGCTGGAAGCCAATTCCCGCCTAGTTACGGAAACCATGTCCCGGCTACTTGAGATATTTTGAAACTTCGCCGAAAATGTACGTCTGCAGCTCTGTCCCGTGTAAAGATAAACCATCAGACGAAAGTTCTGCTTCGGAAGGATCAGCGTCCCGATCTGAGCGATAATCGATTACTGTTTGGTGGTTAGTTCTTTGTAGTAAGTGAAAAAAGGTAACCTAATCACGTGGGTTTCATGGAAAAGTCCAGGTTCTTAGAAATGTCCCTTGACGTCTACTCCCGCGTAGCGGAAATATATGTGATAGGGATTTTACGCGACGCACAGTGCTTTCCAAAAATGGTTCAATTTAAGAACACGAAAACAAAAAAAGCAAGTACTGGTTCTCATATTTTTATCATCGTTTTTCAGACAGTTGGTGTGGAATCGACTGATCCAGCTTTGTGATAAATCCACTACATACATTCACCTTTATACTATTTTCTGCAGACAGATAACGTTTCCACTAAATCGTGAACTTTGCATGGCTGGCATTCGCTATGGTTTGGTTCAGAATCTGCTCAGAAAACACCGATGAACAATAAGATGTCTGATATTCAGTCTCTGTGCTGAATTTGCAAATCCAACGACGATACATATCACAATCAGAAGCATCCTTCCTTATATTTTACGAATATTTCGGCATACTAGAGTTGCAGTACTGCCTCCAACAACATAAAACATACGTACTACCATCGTACATAAAACAGTACCTGATATGCTCCCTTATATGCTTTGCAGTTTTATATAATTTGATTGTTTTTACGAATAGTTTGCTCTTACAACTATTGGTTAAATATTCCAATCATCACAGCATTAAGTACGAAGTCAAATATTCTCGTAATTTGAATCTCCAAAAAACGGAATGAGCTTTCTCATCAATCAAATGCATATTTTTATTGATATTTGAGAATTTTCTCTCCAAAATTTTAATAATAATGCAAACTAAATAACGTATGGATTACCAAACACGTAATTTATGCATAGCATTGTTTTAAATAGTACTTTTAATATAATACGGGAAGGTGTCCGCTGAAAACATCATGGCAAAAACATCACGGAAGAAAACGTCGCGGAGAAAACAACGCAAGGCGAAAGCTTCCTAATGCAAAACATCGTGGAAGGAAACATCGCAAAGAGAAAAACATCGCAGTTCTAAAACATCGTGGTACAAAATATCGTCGTCGAAAATAAAACGGTTCAGAAACTCCACAGTTTAAAAACATGGTCATCGAAAATGTGGTAAAAATTAAAGTATCTACAAATCATCGCATGACGATATCATCGCAGACATGCGTTTTTCAGGTTTTAATAATTGCAAATGGATGTTCCCAGAATGATTTGTGAGGAGATGGAAAGAAGGCTAATTTTTACTTTCATATTTTCACTAACTAATAAATATTTGCTGAAAATGTAAAATGGAAACTTAAGCATAGAAAATTAATGCAATTTATAGCACTTAATAGAATTCTAAACTGACGTAGTTAACTAACAAAGGTCATTAATACTTTTTTTTAAAGATTTACTGGTTTCATGAAAAGTATAATTGGAAAACGGTTAGAAAAAGGAGGATAAGTAGCTGCATGCATCTATAAAAAATTGGTAATTGTAAGATTATTTTCTTCACTTTTGTTAATCCGATACTCTTATAGTGAAAATTATTTCTTGTTTCGTTCAAATTTCTTGTTTTGTTTTTTATAAATTTATTAGTTAATAAAAACTATGAAAGTAAAATTTATCCTTCATTCCAACTTGCGCTTGCAAATCATTATGAGAAAAATCCATTTACAATTATTAAAGCCTGAAAATCTCATGTCTGAGATGTTATCGTTATGCGATGATTTTTAGGTACTTTATTTTTTACCACGATATTTTCCACTACTATGTTTATAAACTGCGAAGTTGTTGAACTGCTTTATTTTCGACAACGACATTTTGTACCACGATGTTTTAGAGCTGCGATGTTTCCTCTTTGCTTTGTTTTGTACCAAGACGTTTTCACCTTGCGTTGTTTTCTCCGCGATGTTTTCTGGCTGCGATGTTTTTGCCGTGACGTTTTCGGCTGTAACCTACGGAAAGTTGCTTTTAATATTTCATAATTTAATGAAGCATCAGAACTTAACATAAAACTGATATATTGTAAGGCAATGAAATACTAAAAATTCGGAAATGTATACATATAGTTTGTGATGCTAAAGATTTAAGTCTTATGACGTTCTGTCACGCATTAAGAAAAAGGAAATGAGTGAGATGAGTTTAACTCATCTGTATACTGTTCAAATATTTGAAATATAAAGCGACCTTCTTAAGCTTTCGTTTACATGTCAGATAAAATATACTTCGCTATTGCGTATCGTGTTATATGCTTCCTCCATTACGCTTTGTCTTTCAAAAAATGCTTTAAGGAAAATGCACAATAGAGAAAATGGGATAACATATGAGGTTCTAAAAACCATATTATAATTGAAAACTAATTTTAGTGAAATAATAACTTTAGTATTCATGACTATTTAAGACGTCTTGCCACCACACTGCATTAATTACACATTTGTGTGTTATGTACGAAATTAAACGAATATCGTGCATGCAAAAGATATTCCTTAGTACAGTTAGTATATAAATATTACACATAAAATACAAATTTTCATTCATTAGAATAAATACTGTTATGTGGGAAAAAATCAGATATTTCCTAAAAGTATGAAATAAACTTGGCTATGAAATGTAGATTGCAACAACTGAAGTTCTTTGAAATTACGCAAATGTTTTACAGAAAAGTTAATTTAGCACATTACATTTTCGATCAAGGCAGATAACTTGGATGTAATCTAAGGAATTATTGGTCTCGTTAAATTACCTTTTTTCTATTTTTCTAGCATTGCAACACCTGAAAACAATTAATTCAAAATCATATTAACATTCGAAACACTTTAAAACGTATCCAGGGTTTCAAGTAATTATGGTCATCGTTTATTTGCCAAAACCTTATTGACATAGTAATCTTGAACTTTAACAACTTCCGTTTAATTGCCTTTCCCCATTTTCTTGCTTAAGAACTGTGTTTGTAACTCTTCATATTACGCATATACTTGGATAATCGGCTTCGTCTCCTATAGTATGTAGAAAAGCAAGTCAAGGAAAAACGTTAAAACATACATACCCTTGTGTTTTGTTGCACATTGTTTATCAAAGGCAATTCAGGGGCTCTTTTATCGAGGGCGTCACTGACCGGTAGGGGCAAAACTTGGGTCCTTCCCCCGTGTATGTATACATCGGCGTACTCTGTTGGAGGTTCCATACGCAGAGGAACCGGCCGCTTGTGAAAACCGCGATCTATGTACTGTAGATCATCTACAATCTAGGGAGAAAAAGGACAAATAACAATTAATAGGTAATACTGATTAGCATCCCAATTATCAGTAAAAGTGCAGTAATATTGTTTTAGCGTACTACAATTATAACGATAAGCATTATTTTTAAATATTAGTAATATTATTCTAAATAGTAAGAAACTAAGTAATTCTAAGTACTTATCAATAAAAAGTACATAGGATTATAAAAATTCTGAAATGTAAATTTATATCGGCGTACATACATGTACATATGTACAAAGTGATACCACGTATATGTAAAGTGAATATACTAATGTAACTGTTTGAAATCATGGTTCTGATGATTAATTTTATGAGAATACGAACGGGTTTAGGCTCGTATTTAAAGACAATTTACACAATAAAATTTCTGATGATTTTATGCCCTGTTGGCATTAGAGTAGGCGATGCAGTTACCATAGCCTTTGACCAGGGTCCGAATTTGGAAAAGGCAGGGATCTTTGTTAGCATATAGTACTTTGTGGCATATGGGCCCAGAAAATACTTTAAATAAATAATTTTAATTCAATTAATTTATAATGTCTAAACAATTTCTAAGCGTTTTCAATCATTTCTGTTTTCTCATTTTGTACGGAAAAAAAGTGGTTGCAGGCTTTTCTGAAATGTTGTTGTATTTTCCTAAACATTTCCATTTATTTCCACTTAAACAAATTTATATAGTTTTAGAGCTAACGCTAGAAAGATTTTGTAAACATAAAAATTACATTTTTATTTGATTGCTGTTAAGTAAAAATTCCAATTAATAAATGGTAATATATGAAATGCAAAATATTCCATATTTTTACATATAAAGTCATCAAAATGCGAATAATTAATGAAAAAAAAAAGAAAAAAAAAAAAAAAAAGACAAAATTCGGTGCATTAGACAGGCGTATTTTTCTTCTGAAGGGAAGAAACCTACGTCAGTCACTCTCGAAATTGAAGCGATTTATACAAAATTTGCGTCGTTCTTAGGGTGTTACTTTTCTAATTTTATGTTTTACGTTGGTAGATATACCATCTGTATATATATGGAGAAATTAACATTTTTTTCGGAACCAATAAGAAAGTGAAAATCAGGGCTGTTTTGCTTCATGAAACTGCATTTGTTCTTAATGTTTAAAAATTAAAGAGTATTTTAGTGAGCATTTAGTTTCTATGGAAAATATGCTTGAAGCGACAACGAATTTATTTATGCTAAGACAGCGAATTAATTCTCTTAGCGTAAATCTGGTAAGACAGCGTTATGCTAAGACAACGAATTTATTTTTAAGATCTTCAAAAATTTTACTCTTGAAGTATGAAACTTTTAAATTTAAACTTTTAAAACATATTAATACCATACATTTTTTGTCCATTTTTCTTTGCAGGAAGTATATAAAACGTAAAACCTCTATTTTCGAAACCAGTCTACCTCCAGTACTAAAGCTGTTTCAATAAAAAAAAAAATCTGTGTCTTAGTTTAGGCGGTTAGTCTAAACTAAGACTGTCAGCGGGTTACCTGACCGATAGGTACCTGGGCGATATGCTAGCTACCCAGTGGACCGGCTGCCTCGCTCTCGGTGGAAAGAAAGTTTAAGCGGTTTTGTTATCAGTAATACACTAGGACCTGGAGAGTTTATTTGAACATTAAAATTGTAATATGAAATATATCAACAAAGGAATTATAATATTCCTTGTCAGTGTAGTTTACCGTAACTCGGCCAAACCAAGAGAGTGTAAAAACATTTATAATGGAAAAAAAAAAAAAAAAAAAAAAAAAAAAACTGAAAATAAAAAAGAATAAATAAATAATTGCTTCTGTAGCTAATAATTAGAAAAAACACAATGCTATTGTAGATAATTATTGTTGGTCTCTGAATCGCAGTTTTAATTTCAGATTCATTAAAATTATCTAAGATAATTCTTTACTTCGCGACTTCGATTTCCTCGAAGTCTCGTTCATTCAAAAATATATGTTTATTTTAATTACCTTTAATGGTAACCGGAAAAAGCCCACAGTAAAAAAGGCCTAAAGGAAAAATGCTCACAGAATAATGCTCACAGGTATAGGTGCTCACAGGAAAAAAGCCCACACAGAAATATGCCCACATAGAAAAAAGCTCACATGGAAAAATGGTCAGTAAGAAATATGCTCACAAGGAAAAAAGCTCACATAGCTATATGCTCACATGGAAATAAGCCCATTGATAATTAAAATGCGAAGAAATATCCTCAGATTAATCAATCAATAATTAATCGATTTGAACATCGTACACCTACTTGAATTTTTCAAAGAAAAAATATTTAAATCATATGATATACATATATACCAAAGCATCTATGGTGTAGGGAAAGGAGAAAAAGAAGGAATAAAAATGAAACAGGAAAAATACAGTAAGAAATTATTACAATTTTAATTGTTAAAAAAATAAAATAATAGTAAATATAAGTTACACATTTTATAATATAAACATTTAGAAGAATAAGCGAACATAAATAATTATTTTATTTAAACTACGTAAAATACCTTATTATATATAAATCATAAATATATATTTCAAAAGTTATAAATACATAAACTTGCTGAATAATTTATCAGTGGGCTTATTTCCATGTGAGCGTTTTCCTATGTGGGTATATTTCTGTGAGGGCAATTTCTGCGTGGGCTTTTTTCTTGTGAACATTTGTACCTCTGAGCATTATTCTGTGAGCAATTTTCCTGTGGGCTTTTTCCTGTGTGTTTTTTTTCCATAGAACCATTTTTAATTCGTATGTTTTCACGCTTTTTGAAATATTATTAACTTTCTGAAACAATATTTTTGAATTAATCTATGCTTTAATATTCTTGCTTGTTTTTAATAATTAATGGTGCCGTGTGTCTACAATTAATTTCAGTTATTGGCTGTTGAACTGACTTTTGGTATTTTTTAAATTTTATTTTTGCTTGATAGGTGAAACCATGTTTACTGAATTAGTTAGCAATATCAACAATTTGCGAAATCGGTAGTTTTGTCGCTAGAATTCATAGAGTTGCTGACGTAAAGTTTAATTTTTGCCTTAATTTAATTAACTGTTATAGTTTATTACGCTTCTTAAAACCTAATTGCAATTGTAATTTATAACAATTTGCAACAGTAACTTTAAACTAATTCATATGGCTGGTCATTATTGAAATATTACTTAAAATGTAGGATAAGTAAGATTCCAAAAGAATACATATCTCTACATATCTCTAGTCGTACTGAAAAACGTTACATACGTAAAATTGCAAATGGTTTATAAATGCAATAAAGGCATCCTACTTAAAGACCTTGATCTTCTTTTATTGATATATTAAGGATTTAAAATTTTTTCTTCAGTTCAAGATAAATAATTTTAATCTTCTTAACTAAAAAGACCTGATTTCGTATTCAGTTTATTGCTAATTTTAAGTAAATTATTGTTTTCTTTCGAAATATAAAAGTATCGTTACCCTGTGAGATTTTTTCTCTCTCATATCAAGGTTCTTTATTTTCTTAAGAATGAAAAATAAAGGAAAATAGGTAATTGTATTTTTAATGGCAGAATATGTAAGAGAAATGAAGGTAGCTTTAACTGAATAATACTGCAAACAAAAACAAAGAAATAAACAAACAAAAAAAGTGATTTCAGCTCATGTGACTCTAATCCCCGATGCTCCATGAATTTTTTAGATGTTATTAAATATTTTATTCTGGTAAATATGAAATATGCAGAAAGAAGCAAAGAACTGAAGATCAATTTGCATTATAAAGTAGCACTGAATCTTTGTGAAATGTAAATTAAAGAATTCATTAAAATTTATTTTATTTAATTTTATTGATTGTCCTTTATTTTACGGTTCATTATTTTGCCAGTAAAATACATGCAAAACAGTATTCTTTTTTCGTGGTGCACCTTTTTTACTCTCGTTTAAAAGGCCAGAATGAATTTCACACAATATTAACAGAAAATTCTGTCTTAAATTCCAGCTCTTTGCTTGCGTTTGGTATTTCATTTTTAACGATAAAAAGATATTGTTCATTGCAATTGTTTACTTTGCAATGGCTTATAGCCTTTTTTTTTTTTTTTTTTTTTTTTTTTTTTTTTTTTGTTATGGAATTGACGTTCTTTTTTACAGAGAAAGAAATAAAGAAACACGTTAGCGATTGAAATATTTCATGCGTTACATTAGCTTTAATTTTTTTACGATAAATGGTTTACTAGCGGCAGAGTGGTAAAATCTTTTAACACTGGTAGTTAGACCTGGGTTCAACTCCAGGAGAAAAAATTTTCAGCATGAGTGTTTTCGTAGTTTCCCAAAGTGAAATGCGAATACGAACCAGTTTCTTGTAGAATGTCCACTATTAAGGCATCATTCCTCTTAGTTAGATGGTTCTCGAGTGCATTGCCATAATCAGTCAAGTCAGTTTTACAGGAGCTATCGTGAAAACGTAAAAGCAAAGCGTCCCTTATACGCCGTATTTGGAAATAGAAATATTTCGAATACCAGAAAATTGCCGTATGTACCCACATAGCACAAAACCATCCTTGGAATATCTTAAAGATGTTGCTCGCGGGATAGGCGTAAATCCTCAGAATATTCCAGAATATCCCCCGGACCTCCTAAACACATCCTCCCGAGTGCTTAATGTCACATCCCAGTATATTCTCAGGACATCCTAACTAAGTAACACTGACAGTGTACGGGATGTTATTAGGATCTGAACTTCTACTTACTACATCCTCAAGACATCCCGGGATATCCACTAGCCTCCTAAACACATCCCATTATATCTTCAGATCATCCTATCTAGGTCCTATAAACAGCGTACGAGATGTCATTAGGATTTTAAGTCCTACTTCCTACATCCTCAGGACATCGCGTAATATCACAGCTTCCTCCTAAACTTATCCTCATTTATATATATTATATCTAGAGAATAAAAATGAAATTTCAGCAAGATATTTCATATGAATTTTGCTCAAAAATTAGCTCCGGATTTTA